AGTTGTCCCAGAAAAATCTCACCAGATTTTGATTTCGATGAGTTTTGTTTAGATTGACTTTCCTACAAAAGACCCGACTCTATATAATATAGATATATACCCATAGGATCCATGTATGCTATATATGGTAACATTTACCATCAATATACCCCCAATGTGAGCATATATACCAGCACCATGGATCCTATGGGATATATATATATATATACAGATGATCTTCGTTTGTTTGTGTTTTTTCAATGGGATCTTCCCATTGCCAGCTGATGATCTGCATTGATCAAAACTTAGGGAACCAAACCGGCAATTCCAGTACGGTGGCATCCACGTTGTTATTAGTTTACAGTAATCGAGACAAAATCCCTGTCACAGTATTGTTGAACACCATCAGATTTTTCTTAGAAAATCAAATCCAAATATGGTATTTGTTCATCTCCTGTTGTGTGACCACATCCACCAGTTCTGTTGGTAAATTCGCCAGTCTAGTCAAAACATATCGAAATACATTATTTCAGTTGCGAAAATCGCGCTATTCGCAAAGTAAAAGTTGGCAAGTAAAAACGTGTATATAATATATATATATTATATTATATATATTATATATATTATATTATATATATATTATATATTATATATATATTATATATATATTATATAATTTGTAAGATGGGTTATCATTCCATACTGTAAATGGGGTGACTTACTGACATCCATAACTGGTATAACTCGAGCCTGAACTCTGGTAATTCTCGAGCCTCGCGGTCGCGCATGGCGCTGCCATCCGCCTTGATAAAGGCCTCAGCTGGGGCAGATTGAAAGACTGCATTTATCATCACGTATCTACATTTCATATCATTTCATATCATGTCATATCATCTAATATCAGTTCATCATGTTTTCTATAATATATTACCCATTTTTTTCGTGAAACCATGAGTGTTCCATCACCATGGTTCAACATGACATGACCCAATGGAATGTCCAATGAATCCCAAGGTTTGGCTCCAAAACTTCATAACCGTTACCCTCTGGTAATGACTAACATAGCTATTGAAAATGACCATAGAAATAGTGGATTTTCCCATTGAAAATGGTGGATCTTTCCATAGTTATGTTAGTTTACCAGAGGGTATCTGGGAACTACGAGATTGTTTATCCATGTTTCTATGGTATAATTAAACCATATTAAACCATATTAAACCATGTTCCGTCTGTGAAATTTAGGGATTTACGCTGGATTACCTGATTTGAGAAAGACAAATGATGAACTAAACCAGGATCAAACCAGCAAGATTTAGGATTCCATCCGAGAAAACAATAGGAGGTTTAGCACTCAAAAAATGTTTCTTTTAATTAGGATCCTTTAGGAAAGGATTTTTGGAATCTCAGAAAAACTCGGACTTGAGCCAAAATCAGGGATTTGGCAGACCAAATTCAAACAGGGGTTCAGGGCGAGAAATTATGGTAGAAAAAGTGGTGATTTTCACAATACACGCTCCACTCGAGATAAAATGCATGGCAGAGACGCAACTTTGAATAATCGTCTCATTGACTCCGTTGATTTCAACTTATTCATCCATTGCAAATGTTCAAACTGTCAAACATACGCACGGGTTCTTCATGTTTCCATATGTGTCCTTCTTCTCCAAAAGAATCAATTTTGTGAGGTACCAAGGGGGTTTGGGGCAGGCCATTGGGTGGCCTGCAGTAATAAGCCCAGTTTTGCAGTCAGCAACCCTCATCCTCTGCGCCCTGCAAATGGTGGATTCCTTTCATGAACCTCAAGATCCTCTGGGCAAAACATATCCCTGGACACATCTGGACACCCAAACAACCATTCTGGAGCAAGGAACAGTCGCAAGCGTTGCTATGGAATCATGATTTGGTCAAGGGTCAACATTCTGCACCTCCAAAATCCATTCTTCCATCATCGTATCCTCACCTTTGTTACGGTAAATCTCTCCAAAAATGTATACCCAGTGGTGATCTCATGTCATCCAGCTCCTCCAGTTCCGCATCAACCTGGGAGGCCCCCCACATTAAAATCCGTCTCCAACGCAAAGCCACGGAAGAGGATACCCACCACCAACGGCACCTCTGCCGCCATGGGAATGATCAAGATCTACTGTGGATGAAAAAAATCACCACCAATCCAGGATGGTTCAAACATGTTCAAACCCTATAAATCCTGGGATATATGGGATCAACGATTGTTTTCAACTGGTGGACTTCGCAACCGTCTACAGTTTGCCTGTATGAATCTCTTGCGGTCATGTTGCGGGTACATTGTTGGTCAAGTTTCCATAGATTTCGCGCTTAGCTAGGTAATAAATAAGTAAAGACTTAGTAAATAATAGTAAATAAATACATAATTCATATGCACAAGGTAACTATCCCTAAATCCATTGGCTTATCAAAAAACAAACTTTTAAACTGGCCATGATTGTGGCTTATTCCCTCACTTTCAGATACATCCAAATAATTATGGTCAGTTATATTATCCCATGATATCCCCATTAAATTCCACTAAATCCCATGGAATATTATGGTCAGTATATTTACCATAATATGGGTATATTATGACAGTTTTATGTCACAAACTATTTACCATTATGGTCAGTTATATTATCCCCATAAAATCAGTATCGTAAAAGTTGCCCATCTGCCTGGACTAGCTATCGATTGACTTTCTAGGCTGGACCTAGTGCAATCTAGGTATTGCTACTCTCTCTATTGGACCTATTGTCTATTTGGTCTATTTGATGTTTAGTCCATACCTTGGTACTCTTGACATGGATAACATGGCTACACAGGGAAATCCCCGACCGCAGTGGAGGTTTTGGGAAAATCATCGTGGCGTCAATGCTGGCAAATCACCAAGGGATCTTTTTGTCGCTGGGACAATTATCAATAAATAATCTACATTCATGGGGGATTTTCCAGCAATCGTTGAGTACCGGAGGGTTTTTGGCAACAGATAGAAATCATTTCAACCAGTACTGACATCGATCAAACCCTGAGCCGGAGTTCATGAGACAGGCTAAAACTCGCCGATCGTAGCTGCTATTGTCTGGTTGAATTTTCTTTAAGGCTCCAAAGATATGCCGCAACCTTCCCACTAGCTGGGCTACTCAGGTAATTCAACATATGGCAAACTCCGCATGAATGGCCATGGTTAATCATCCAACCAACTGGGCCATCTACATCCACAGCAAACTCTATACCAAGATCGAGTCAAGGGACAACGGCACAAAGGATGTACAAAAACAAGAGCCGTTTCGGCCGCTTGGCCACCTGGTGTCGCGTCGCTGGTGTGAGATTTCCAGTTGTTTCAGCAAAGTAATCTGGTAGCCTCTGGTAATTTGTTACATAGCTATAGACTGGTTGGTGGTTGACCTACCCCTCTGAAAACTATGCTCTTCAGGATGATGAAATTCCCAATGGAAAATTTCTCCAATGTTCCAAACCACCAAGGTGGGACGAATGGCCATGCAGCGGCTGCGCACCTGTGAACAGTACGCCAACAGCACCCGACCAAGGATTGAGCCTTCGAGGCTGATTCAAAACATTTCAAAACCCCAAGGCCAAGATTTTGTGTTGCAACTAACTCTATTCCAATATATTCCAATTATAGGGCATATTGTTATGCATTTTTATACATGTTTAATGTATTTTTCGTAGATGTCTATCCAGAGGTGACGATGAAAACACCAATTTACATCAAGATAGCAAATGGATGTTCATCTCAACATTCACATAGAAAAATTAGATGTCCATTATACATATTATACTGTGTATATATATATATATATTTATATATATATGTAGGGTGAAAGCTGGGGGTTCCCCGGAAGCCAATTGCAATTTCATTGCATGGAGATGGAAAATGTTGATTTTATACTGTGTTTTACAGGGTTTTGTGTCTTCTCTTCAAAGTGTTCCAGGAGTGAAAGTATCAATGTCGGCGCGGATAAACTCTGAGTTTGTCCGCGCAGAAAAATGATAAATTTACATCTTCCATGGATGGCCAAAAATGCGTTCAACATTTTTCCCATTGGAATTGCGGTTTCATACATTTTTTCAGTTTTTGTTGATAAGTACAAAATGTCATAATCCACTGGAGAACCATGGACGAAATGAACATCACATATTTTTCATCTTCGCTTTCCCAAACCTTTTTTTTGGCATGGCGATGGAAAATGTTGTTTTTACACTGTGTTTTACAGTGTTTTATGTTTTTCTCTGAAATGGTTTGATCAATCGAACTTCCATTTTCATCGCGGAAGAACTTGACGTTTGTCCGTGCTGAAACAGGAAAATTTTACATCTCCCATGGATGACTAAAGATGTGTGGAACATGCTAACCATTTGAAGTGCGGTTTCTTTTAATTTGGTCGTTCTGTTCAGAAGTAGAACATGTGATAATGCACTGGAGAACCATGGACGAAATGAAGAACGCACCTTTTTCATCTTCATGTCCACAGAGGCTGTTTGAAGCAGTTGGCAGGAGCGAGAGCACCATTGGTTTTCTCACGGTGCAGTCGCAGGGCTTTGAGGACAGAGTCAAGACGGAACTTGCAACGTAGCAACATCTTCCAACCAAGCAACATCTTCCAGGATTCAACATCATCCAACGCACTTCACATGACGTTATTACACCCCCCCCACCCCCCCTTCTGTAAACAACAACGAAACTTGCAACGTAGCAACATCTTCCAACCAAGCAACATCTTCCAGGATTCAACATCATCCAACGCACTTCACATGACGTTATTACACCCCCCCCCACCCATCTGTATACACGAACGTCCTCTCTAGTATAGCATCAAGACTGAGGGTTCCTCGAAGCTCCGGGGAACCCCCAGCCTTGAGCCTATGTATATATATATATATGTATATATATATGTATGTGTGTATATATATATATGGTAGTGTATGTTACACTGATATAATCCCCATTGTTTGACACAATAAATCTTGGGACATGACGGACATTCCCAAACCTATGCCGCTTCCCAGGGAGCTGTCCCGCTGTCTTGACATCTTTTCGCGCTAGGGTCGTGGTGCTGACCTGCCGTCGTCCGAAGCGGATCCTTAGCCGAAAGCTGCCAAGGGCAATAGCATGCCGTAATCGTAATGGACCGGTTCCGCATGATGAATCATGATGAATCATAGTAATCTTGAGTCAAGTTCACAACACACAACTTGAAAAGAATGATGGTTTGTCTGCAAAATGGGTTCGCCATTCTTCTCACCATTAAAATTGCATTTTGAGGCTATACCCAATGTACCCTTCAGACTCCAAACACACCCACCAAAATCCGAGCCAACAAGAGTCAAAAGTCAAAGGGAGAACTCATATGTGCTTGGTTCGATGCTTCGCAGATTGAACGTTTGATTCATCGCCGGCGAGAGGTGGCGAGCAGCCAGAGAATCTGCGTGGGGATGAAGTCGGTGGGTTACTGTACCTATCCTTTTTGGGTCTGATAACTTTGACCCATCAAAACCTGGTATGTCATCTTTGTTGAAACCAAGTCCGGGAGTTGGGACTGACGTTCCCATAGCCAAACTCAATATTGTATATGGATGTATATGGCTATGTAGTATCAGCATTCTGTATTCCCGCACCATACTCGGCAGAATCAGTCCGAGTCCCAAGACTGCATCAACTTTGGATCCCAAACTCTGTCTCAAAAAATGAGAGCGTCGTCCAAAAAGTCGAAAAACACATCCAAATGTGCATGTTCAAATATATGGCGGTTTTCGAAAATTGGGTTACCCCAAAATGAATGGTTTATAATGGAAAATCCATCTGTAAATGGATGATTTAGGGTACCCCCATGGATTGGAAACCTCCATGGCAACAGTGCCTGTAGAAACTTCTCCACCTGCGGTCACAATTCATCCCTTCTCAGCTCCTCTCGTTGATAGCGCAACTCCTGGCCCATGGGATCCCAAGGATTTGCGAAAATCTTCACCATGCCAAGTATGCTTGAAAAATCATCAACCTTTGAGACCACCAGTCATGATTCATTTAAACAAAAAAACAGGGTATGGAAGAAATTAAAAAAAAACTTTGACCCCACAAATATGAGCCAAAAAAGCTTTTTACCCAGGCTTTGCTCCCCCGCGGTCCTTCTTCTTTCCGTTGTTCTTGGGGATTTCCGCAGAAGAGATGGTGGCAATGACCAGACCTGCGCTGGAAGCCGCTGGAAAATGATCAGCTGTTATTATGAACCATAAATGGGGTGACTTACTGACTTGCAAATGTTTAACCAAAAAACATAACTATATGGACCATAATAGATATATCAACATATGTGCGTTGGGTCTTGAAGCGTAACCCACATCCTGGATTTTTTGAGTGAACTCAAAGGACGGGATTTTCAAACATGGCGAGCTGGGAAATCCGCATAGAAAATCACAGCTTTTAATGGGGGGAAAATAATGAACAGTAAGTTGGGGATTTTCTATTGCCATGTTTGACTACCAAAGGATATATTAACAATCCAAAGCAAAGTGAATTCTGCCTCGGAGATGTGCTGACAGCACGGGGATCTGGTTCTGCCGATGCACAGGGAGCAGATTTTTAGCCACAGGTTCAACAGCTTGGTGGCACCTCACGGGCAGCCCCATGTGGGTTTAGTGTTTCTTACAATGTGGGCCCCCCAGTTATAAGTTGTTTTACAGACCCCATTAACTATAGTTATAAGTACCATAAATCATGGTTATTGGAGTTATTCACCAACTTAGCAATCTAGGGGGGCCCACATTGTAGTTCCCTTAATTTTCTCTTTTCCGTTCACTTGTCATTATCTTTTTCTTCCTTCGCTGTTCGTTTTTTTCCATGTTCCTTTTTTATTGTCCTTGTTCGTTTCCTTTTTCCCGTTTAACCTTCTTTGTCATTCTGCTCTTTTGTTGCCTTTTCCCCTTTTTACTTTACAATCTGTTTGAACGGCTTGTGTATTGTCCTTTTCCTGTTTCTTTTCATTCTGTTTCTTGAAGGTCTGTGTCCTGTACCTTTTGTCTTTTCCTTTTCCTGCGTTCTTTCATTGTGGAGTTGTTTTTTCCTTTTTCTGTTATTCTTTTCTCTTCGACTTTTCTTTTGTCTTTCTCGTTGTTTATTTTCATATGTGTTTTGTGTTGTTTCAATTGATTCTCTCTTGCCCTGATTTTTTTTATTAATTTTCATGTATCTGTCTTTACCTCTTCTTTCTTTTCCGTGTCCTTTGTTTTGCATTCTGGGACGCTTAAATGAAACTAATTTCACCGCTGTCGATTCCTCGTGAGTGCCAATATGTAACTAATTTCAACAAAATTGAACCCCCATGGATGCTCCCTTGCATGTACTTCCAGCAACATTGATTTCTCGTCTATGGTCAAAGGCTTGTTACTTCATGGTAGTTCAGAAGATGCCTCCAAGCCCTGTTGACCAAGTTGACGATTAGGGAACGAGGGGGCCATTAATCCTGGGTTGCCATTAGTAAGATTTGGTCATGTGGACATCATTCATCAAATACATTCAACTACACGATTCATTTGTTGGACCTTCACCAGAGTCAGGGGATAAGATGTGATACAGTGATACCCTTCAGTAAACCAAAATAGCTATGGAAAATCCTCCATTTATAGTGGATTTACCCATTCAAACCTCCACTTTTTTGGGGATTTCCCATTGCCCCGTTGGATTTCCGCCTTCTGATCCCCCTCGATCGCATTCGCCATCGACCCGGGGCTGTTGCGACATTCCAAGCGCCTGGACGAACACCCTTGGGCCCTTGGGGTCAACCTCCAAAGTGGTCATTTGGGTTCTGGGTATATAATGGTATACAGCCCATATAGTGCAACCATACATCGTGCATGTTCTTGCAATTTTCTTGGCTTCGCGGCCCAACATATAAGAAACCACTGCCAACATGTGTTTACCAGTATTTTTACTGTTTCAACCTCTTCAAAATATATGATAGTGAATTTCCCAATCATAGGAATGCATCACAAGATCTGACAGATATTGCCTCAGACTAGAGCACAAACTTGCAACTTATGAACAATATACAATCTGAGCCAGACTAGGGGATGGACAAAGGCCTGAAAATTCATCATCATATTTCATCAAATTGATTGATTATTACACTCCCATGCTAGCGTTTATGACAGATAAAACCGGACGTCAAGTGCTGTATAAATATTCAATGGACGTATATATATAATTTAAGGTACCTAAAATGGAAGTACCTACCCATGTAAGGGCTATGTATATAAGAGGATCTGATATGCCCCAAAATATTGTTTTAATATATGGTACGGTACTTGTGGTTTAGGTACATGATCCACCTATCACTAAGGGTTGGTTGCAACCTCGTTGTATATCCCGCAGTTCGTCAACCGGGTGCAAATCATGGTACAGTATTTGAAAGTCCATTGGATGATAATGCATAGTATGGAAATCCTCTTGGAACATCATTATACTAACAGGGAATATCCGGGAATAAGCATAAGAAACCACCAACCATTTATACTATACCTTTAGGCAAAATCCTCGTTTACAGTTGGTAAATTCCATCATTCAATCAATCTCTTGAAGTTAACTTGAGTTTGTCTGCAAATGGCTGCCCAAAATTTGATGGTTCATCAGTTCATCATCACTTTTCCTCTTAAATTTGCCGTAAAAGAAAGGTAAATCATCCATTTCAGAAATCTGCAAATCCATTGGTCATGTCATGTCTGCTGAAATGACCCATGTTCATCTGGTTGGTGGTTGACCTACCCCTCTGAAAAAATATGAAAGTCAGTTGGGGTTACTATTCCCAATATATGGAAAGTCAAAAAAATCATGTTCCAAACCACCAACCAGTCATGGTTTGATACCCATAAATTTCCGTGTTACCTTCTGAAAGAACTTGGGACTTCCCAGCGGCCTCTTGACGCACGGGTTCCATCGACACTTGCCAGCCCTGCTGTGCAAAGCGACGGAGGAACTTTCCGATGAGTTGTGGTTCCTTCCTGAATGGCTGGTCCATGGTGAAATCACTTCAAAAAATCACTGCTGATTGGGGGGATGTCAGCATCAAAAATATGGGCATTCCACGATCAAACATGCTGCCATACCAATTGCGTATAAGGAATTATTTAGCAGCAAACATGTAGATTTAAGTGACTGACCATTAAAAATCCCAAGATTTATCGTACACAAATGGTGGTTTTATCATTGAGAAACATTTATTTTGCAAAAAGTGTGATATATTTAGATATGATAGGCGGATATAAGGTATAAGGTATAATTATAATATATATAATTTTATAATATTATATTGTATATAATATATATATACATGTATAGATATGGATAAATGGCCACCAATACCAGTAATTAGTGCCCCGGTTGTGCCAGTGGGCACTACAATGCCACAATGCCCGACAGGATGGCCCGTCGAGTGAAAGACTGACTGAGTGGGTGGGTGGGTGAAGTGAGTGAATAAATAAATAAACCTGGTTGGTGGTATACCTACTCCTCTGAAAAATCTGAAAGTCAAATGGGATGATTATTCCCAATATATGGAAACATAAAAAATGTTCCAAACCACCGACCAGAACGAATTAAATGGATGAATGAACGAATGAATGCATGATTGAATGAATAACTGAGAGAACGCGACATTGAGTGACCCACTGTTGCCTGAATGACTGAATCACTCAATGAAAGCAGGAGCTGAAAGGAACGAATGATTGCATAAATGAATGCAGTAATACTTGACTAAATGAACAACTGACAAATGAATGCAAGAACGAAAGGCTTTTGTCTGAAACTGAATGACTGAATGGCTGCATAACTGAATGACTGACTGATTGAATGAATGAAGAATGAAGGAATGAAAGAATGAAATCTCTCCTTTGGCACCCGCCAGCAACGGGGAAATGTGTTTCCTTTAGTGGTACTGATTGGGGCTTAGGCATTCTTTGTCATGGTCGTTTAATCATCAAAGCGAGTATTTCATGGGATGGGATATTGGCCGGAAAACCCAAGGTGAACTAATCCACCAGGGTTTGGTCACTGTTCATTTGATGTTGGGGAAAACAAACCATGTATTTGTTTTTTATTTTTCTGAGATATAATGGGAACATAGTGTGAGAATATCATGATTGGGTATGATTTAATGATTTTAATGCCTAATTTTCGAAGTATATGTTTTGGGGTGTGTCTGAAAAGGGGGGAGATGCAAAATTAGGAGCATATATGAGAACATGCCACTGAGATGATGAAGAAAAAATGAAGGCTATGTTCAAACAATTTGCATGTTCATCTCGTGAGTCATAATACAAAGGATCATCCAAAAAATCGCAGATGTCAGACCACGTCTTCATGAAAACAGAAATGTTGGGCCAGCCACCACGGTCAAAAAGATCTGATAAAGGCCCCCTCATGAGTTTTTGGTGTTCAAGTATATTAAAACCATCCGTTTTCCCACTACAACAATTTCCCCAAAATTTGAATCAAACAATCTCTTGGATATTTTTCGACCGTACAAATTGGCCAAAATCATGTTAATGCTGCAGGTTAAACCAATATATTTGAAAGGTAAATCCCGATGTTTGGTTTGTAGACGGTATAGACTCCGTGTTTTCATTTTTTGTTGTTTAATTTTTAAACCATCTTAAGCCCCCAGTTGTGTCGGGTAATTTCCCTGTTTGTTAAACCCTCACTTTGTTCGCTAAATCCAAATTTCAATTGGTTAAACGGTTAAACCCACTTTTCTGTTGATAAATCCAATTTTTGGTCGGTTAAATCATAATGTTTTCATCGGTTAAATCACCAATTCTTTGCAATCGCCGAGTTGCAAGGCCGCCGTCATCGGGAACTTCCTCGGTTGCAACGCAAAGACTGCAGCGACTGCGCGGTCCCGCGAGTGCAGCAACTGCACGGTGCTGTCGTAGAGGGCATCGACGGGGAAACCGTCATAGACCTACAAGTAATTGTTGAACAATGGCCGGGACCATGCTTGCCAGGATCAAACCACATACGAACTGAGTAAATGGGGTTCGTTTCCTGAGGTTTAAAAAGGGACAATTCAGTAGTTATGAAGCAGTTCCGAAGTGGAACAATCCCCCAAGCGGGAAGATATTGGTTGCCATTCTGCGGTGCTAGTCTTTGGCAATAGGATTTGCGAGTTATTGCTATTATCAATAATTGTAGTCATTTTACTGTCAAGAAGTTTGGGTATTTGGAAGTACAAACAATCGAAGCAAAACCTACCAAGGGTTGGCGTCACTTGAAATGAGAACATCCCACTAAGGGTGGACATGTGCAAATTAAACTATGCTCATCAATCCAACAGAGCGAAGGGAAATATGGAAGTACCACAAGGAACATGTCAGACAAGAATCACAAAGTTGCTGAGAAAAGATGGATGCAGGGACCTGGAGATGCCCGTCGAACTCCCTTCTTTGGGGCATTTCTCTCGGATGCCCGTATGGAAACGGCAGAACCCATATGCCAAGTGGCCAAGTCGGCGCCAACCTCAGCAAACATACGCTGTAGCGCACGGGGGCACCATCATAAACAACCCGGCGGATCTTTCACCGTCCCATATTTGTTTTTTTAAATCAACGTCTTCGTCAAAGCGAAATGGTCGTTTTGCGGTTGAAAATGCAAAATAATTATATATTATATATACAATATATATATATATATATTAAATATATATATATATTAAATATATATATATATATTAAATATATATATATATTAAATATATATATAATATAAATATAATATATATTGTATAATAAATAAAATATATTTTATAATATATATAATATGTATTATATAATATGAATAATATATATTATACTATATATATAATATTATCTATTATATATTTATTATATAAATATTATCTATTATATTTTAATTTTTATATTTTATATATAGAATATAAAAATGTTATATTATATATAAAATATTCTATATTAAATATTAAATAGTTTGGAATATTTATTACATGTAAATAAATAAATATATATATATATACTGTATATTAAAATTTTTATTTTATATATAATATTTTGAAATTTTATATTATATATTATATATATATATTATATATTATATTATATAAATTATTACTCTCCAACACGCCGATGCTGCCTCTCTGCTGGGGGCAGTCTGCCGAAATGTGGCAACGAAACGGGTGAAAAACTGCTGGCCCCTACCCACATTGAACGCACTGAATCAGGCATGAACCTTTCCGAAATTAGTGAGAATGAACAGCCCAGAATCCCATTCCTGACAGTATGATTGGGTGTTCCAATCACATCCTCAGCATGGTATTGGTTTTTACATGGCATACTCAATAAGATGATTGCATCCTAGGGAGCACTAAATCTCTACGCGTTTGATTGTTTCCAGCAGTGAACATGCATTTCGATCATAATCCACATTCTTGCTCAGATCGGGCATCAGAGCTATTTGTTGCTGAATTTAATGGTGACCTAGCTGCAATGCGTTGAGGGCCCCCAATGTCGTACAGGATGCAGTGCCAACATGGGGAAACAGCAAGCTTTCACAACCCTTGCAGGTAACAAACTTGTCCATGAAACAAGTCAGTCCCATCAAGGCCTGCGGTACACACTACATCTGGGCCTATTGGCCTATTTGGAGCGAAACTTTCCCAAGAATTGGCAAATCACATGCGGTAACCTTCCAAGTGCTTTCCCCATTGAAATCGTTGTGGTGTTCATCCCTGGCTTTGTTTGCATCCCCACGTTGAATTGCTCTGTTCAGGAGATGGGTAGGAATCAGCCCACCGTGGTTCCATTCGGCTGTGTTTCAAAATTGGCCTCTGAATGTGTATTCTCCTCCCATTTGGAAATCACAGCCTTTGACCCATACTCGCCTTATCTAATTCATCACTCATGTCGTTGTGGCATACTCGCCTTATCTAATTCATCAATCATGTCGTTGTGGAGACATGACTTCTCTTGATCTCCACCCCGGTGTTCCAATAATTAGATCCGTTTTTTCGGTTAGGTATCAATCCCATTATGATGTTTTGCCACCTGTTACATTTGACATGTAACCCAAAAACGACCATGTCCAACAAGAAAAACATTTTTCCAGACAAGCAATACAATACACTGAATTATGCCAAACAATCCAAACATATAATCGAATGTATATATATATATATAGCATATGATATGTGAATATTGAGAGGCTGACCCCCTAGTTTTATCTAGTTTTGGGGTTCCATCCTGAATACAGGGCGTCTCCAAACAACATCCCGCGCCAAGCAGCCACCAACTGAACATCAGCAGCACAAAGTGGCAGCTCTTCACCCCATGCGAAGGGCTCAAAACCTTGGTGTGCAACCCAGAAACTCTGGCTGAATATATAATGAATCATTAATAATGAATGATTCCCAACAAAAAACAATAACCCCCGAAAACGATACAGTAGATTCGCGATTTGTCATATTTATCACCATCCTAATAGGACTTTGCAGATACAAAAGCAGAACTACTTAGAACCCATTTGACTCCTGCTTTGGACGGTTTGAATCCAAAATAAAAATCAAAAATGCTTAAGATTCTTGAAATAAACATCCAGGCACACTGAAACATGCCGTTGGTGGTCCAAAGAGTGGCAAAATAAAACTAAGAAAAACATAGATCTGATAACCCTGGTTTCAAAATCTCCTACTTGGGTTTTACAAAAAAAATCATTGGTTTCTCGAACATCACCAGTGATTACCTGCACATGTATTTCCGTTTTGTTTGATCATGTTCCCATAATATCCCCCTTTACCTTTGTATCCCTATGTTTTTTTCTAATATTACGACACCCCAAGAAACCTATTCATGGTTTAATCGGGAACCTAGAAAAGTTTAATCCTCCCCAAATGTTCGAAGGAAATTTAGAAGTCAAACTTCCGACAATATGGACAGTTGGAAAAGCAGAGGTGAGAAGAGCGAGAGAAGAGAAGAGCAGAAGAGAGAAGATCAGAGAAGAGAAAGAGTCAGAAAAAGAAGATGCAGGTGCGCCAAAAAGGTAGAAAAGTCGCGAAACACTGTGTTTTTTTCTAATGATTTGTTGACACGTCGAAAAAGTGCACGCCCTTTTGGCACGAAGCACATATCGAAGTCAAAAGTGTAAAAAACTGACGGGTCCGGAACACTTTTGGAAGTTCAGATGTTGAAAAAGTGCACGCCTTTGTGGCGCGAAGCACATGTCAAAATGTTAAAAACACCACATGCTCGGACCACTCTTGAAGGTTCAGATGTGGTTTTGCCTGACAGCCGCAGGGGATCCTGCACCTTGTGAAAAGTGAGCAAAACGTGAGGGATTTGTAGCAGTTCCAAAAACAAAAGCAGGCGTGGGACATTTAAAGACGATCTGGAAAGATGCATTTGGCATGGCAGGCGCAGTACAAAAGACATGTTCATCAGAGATGTTAGGGTGTCCGGGCGCTGATTTCCTGAGAGGGGTTCATTTTGGAGCATCAGATCTTCAGGTTTGCTGAGATGATTTTGCGTGACAGGTGCAGCACTTCGTATGACCTGGCATCACTTTTTCGTGGCAGGCGCGGCACTTTAGACAGGTGGAGTGGAAAAATCGCAAAACGCATTGGTACGTGGCCGTCAGCTCTGCACTCAACTTTCCATTTTTGAAGGATGTCTCGCAGAATTGCTTCGTTTTTGATGTTAAGGAAATCTCGCAGAATAGCTTCGTTTTTGACGTTGTCAAGCTCAAAAGTTGAGGACGTCTCGCAGAATTGCTGCGTTTTTGATGTGGTCAAGTTCAAAAATTGAGGAAGTTTCGCAGAATAGCCTCATTTTTGCAGATAGCTAGATAGATATAAATAGATATAGGTAGATATAGATAGATAGATCGATAGATAGATAGATAAATAGTTAGATAGATAGATGGATAGATAGATAGATAGATAGGTAAATGGATAGATAGATGGATAGATAGATAGATAGAGAAAGATAGATAGAGAGATTGTATTCGATTAGATTAGATTAGATTCGGTTAGGTTAGATAGATAGATAGATAGGTAGATAGATAGATAGATAGTTAGGTAGATAGATAGATAGAAAGATAGATAGATAGCTTATTAGGTAGGTAGGTAGGTAGATAGATAGATAGGTAGATAGATAGATAGATAGGTAGGTAGATAGACAGATAGAAAGATAGATAAAGAGATGACAAAAGATAGATAGAAAAGAAAGAAAGAAAGAAAGATAGATAGATAGATTGATTGATTGGATAGATAGATAGATAGACAGATCGATCGATAGATCGATAGATAGATAGATCGATAGATCGATAGATCGTTTTAGATCGATAGATCGATAGATCGATAGATCGGTAGATCGGTAGATCGATAGATCTTAGATCCATAGATGGAAAGATCGATAGATCGATCGATAGATAGATAGATAGATAGGTAGATAGGTAGATAGGTAGATAGATAGAATGATAAAATTAAAAAAGATTAGATTAGATTAGTTTAGGTTAGATTAGATAGACAGATAGATAGATAGTTAGCTTAGATAGGTAGATAGATAGATAGATAGGTAGATAGATAGATAGGTAGATAGATAGATAGATAGAAAGATAGATAGATAAATAGCTTAGGTAGGTAGGTAGGCAGGTAGATAGATAGATAGATAGGTAGATAGATAGATAGATAGGTAGATAGATAGATAGATAGATAGGTAGGCAGATAGACAGATAGAAAGATAGATAGAAAGATGAAAGAAAGATAGATAGATAAGAAAGAAAGAAAGAAAGATAGATTGATTGATTGAATGATTGGATAGATAGATAGATCGATAGATGGATAGATCGATAGCTAGATAGATCGATAGATCGATAGATAGATAGATCGATAGATCGTTTTAGATCGATAGATCGATAGATCGATAGATTGATAGATCGATAGATCGATAGATCGATAGATCGATAGATCGATAGATCGATAGATCGATAGATCGATAGATAGATAGATAGATAGTTAGCTTAGGAAGATAGATAGATAGATAGGTAGATAGATAGATAGAAAGATAGATAGTTAGATAAATAGATAGATGGATGGATAGGTAGATAGATAGATAGATAGCTAGATAGATAGATAGATAGATAAACAACTGCAACTGCACTACACCACACCACAACTACAACTCCAACTACAACTACACTACCACTATAACTACAACTACAACTACGAGTCACCTACACTTCAACTACGAGAACTACAGCTACAACCACAACTACAACTTCAACTACAGCTACAACCTCAACTACAATTACTACAACTACAATTACAAGTGCCACTACAACTACAACTGCAACTACAACTGCAGCGACTACTACAACTACACTACAGCTGCAACTGCAACTACAGCTGCAACTACAACTGCAACTACAACTTCAGCTACACTACAACTACACTCCAACCAGAACTTCAACTTCAACTACACTACCACTACTACAAAAACAATTACCACGACACTACATTACAACTACAATTACAATTACAACTTCAGCTACAACTACACTACAGCTACACCTACAATGACAACTACAACTACAACTCCTACAACTGCTGCAATTACTACAATTAATACAATTAAGACAATTACAGCCTCAATTACGCGACAACTACAACAACAAGCACAACTACAACTAGAACATTGCAACTTCAACAAGATCAACCCCACTACAACTACAACAACTACAACTACAATACGACTACTGCACTACACCACACTACATCCAGGAGTTGTGAGTGAGGTAACCACTGCAACCATTGCAACCACGCCAAAAGCACACAACTCCAACCACCTTTCGGTCCATCAGTGGATTCGCTCTGCCATCCATGCATCACAACAACTGACCTTTCCTGTAGTGTCCCATCCTTGAAAGTTCAGCCACCGCCTTGTGCGGTACTACTGGTATCTATAGCCATATTTGCTTCGATAAATGATAAAAAGTCACCAATCTGAAATCAGGTCACTGGGACGATGCGAATGGTCCTCTCAAGAATCATTTTCAGTGACGCAGGCCTATGAAGTCGGTAGGCAAATTTGGGTGGGTCCCAAAAAACATGGTACATTAGTACAGTGGTAAAATGACAATTTTCACCTTTGTAGTAACCACCCCCAAGAAGAGAAAAACTTAAATGGACCAATTATTTCAATAGGGCCCCGAAAAAAAATCGGAGGGAAAATACCGAACCATCGAAGTTGTCCACTCGTTAGCCATCATTTTCGGAAAGAAAAAGGCCACTTAGAACATGCATGCCATCCGGTAATCAAACATGGCTAGCTGGAGAATCACACTTTTTATGGATGATTCTCCCAACAAAATCTTTATTTGATTGGTTTTCCAGCTTGCCATGTTTGATGGCACCGGAAGCCGGAGGGCATCATTAGTATTATCTATTTTCCAATTCCCATGCATATATACTATATACCCCTTAATTTGCCCACCTTAAATAGTATTAAATAGTTAGGTTGGCTCATGTAAAAAAAAAAATGTACCGTAGATCATCCTATCATATGACCATGAAATCCCGTTAAATCACTATTTGCCGATCCCTTTCCCAAGATCACTGGGTCACTGGCAACTGGGTAATTGGGAAAACTCTCCCGGTCTCAGCTTGGCTGCGGATGTTTTGCTGCAGTTTCTCGTCGAGTTTCAGCAAACCCTGGGCGCCCAGCGCTTCCGCAACACGATGGATGACCCTCGGGTGATCCGTGGCACACACCTAGCGAATCCGAGGTCAAGGGGACTGTTGGGCCCCGCGTGTCGTAAAAAGGTGATACACAGCATGAGGAAGATCTTGACAGTTCGGATCCATGGTTTTATACTGGGTAGTAATACCATATCTCAAGCCTTCCAGGAACCCATGGGCTTACAAACGGTTGGTTGTTATTAGGACCTTTTGCTATCGCTGGAAATCTGCGTCAGTAATCTTAAGGCATTCCCAAATTTGCAATGGGCACTCAAGTTAGCTCAAGAGAAAGGGGAAAGAGAATCGAGAATCGGGATGTTTGCCTCCAAAAAACCGGGCTTAATCAACAATAAAGAGAAGTTTAACCAGCCAACATTGAAATATGTGTGGTTTACCTCACTGATATAAAGGCCCACAGAACCCCATGTGTGGTATTGATTCTATTCAGTTGAAGGTCCTCATTGGAGAGGTTCTGATCCATAGCATCGCCCTGTCTTGAAGGCTCTGGCACATGCAAATAAACAACGGGCTGCAATCATCCAAGCTAAGGACAATTCACCTACATGAATGCATCCATATGTCTGATTGTGTCCGCACCATTTCATTTAGAAACAAATGCCCTAGTCTTCCTAGCACCCTTGTTTGACTAGATTTTCGCAAAATTTTCAGAACACAATCACCTTGAACTTCACTGAACATATCTGAAAAACCATTGCCAAAGCTCACAATATCTCACGATTCTAAATAGCCTTTACAAAGCTGCAGTCGCAACAGAGGTCTTTTCCATGTCCTGTGCAAACTTTTTCGGTGGTTCATGCTACAGCCGTGGTTGTCCAAAATCTGGTCGTGGATAAATGGTTAGTAAATCCTAAGAATAAACCATCCCCAATTGGTGTTCATGATTGGGTTATACTTGGAATTACAGTACCTAAAATGACCCCCGATATGGTTGCTTGCTGGGATGGTTGCTTTTTGGGTTTACCACATCAATTTAATTACAAATGGTAAATTCAGCCTGACCTGCCATTGAGTACCGAGATCCTAAGAAAAGAAAATCTGGTCATCGATAAATGGATCATAAATCCTCTGGTAAACTCACCAGAAGCTATGGGAAGTCACCATTTGTATTGGGTAAATCAACGAACCAAATGACCATCTTCAATAGCAAACTGTTTGTTTACCAGAGGGTGTTTCAATGTATAAATCATCAAATGGGCAATTTTCCATCGCCATCTGTGACTGGATATTCCATAAGTTCCTATCATAATCCCCATGGAAATCCCATTGAAATCCCATGAAAAAGATACGAGAATTAAATCCCAGATAGATGATAAATAATAAAATATATATATATATATTTATGATATATCTCCCATAAAAATCCCTATAAAATCCTAATCAAATCCCAACTTCTGGTGGTATTCATCCACCTGCGCTCCGAGCCCACTAAGCGCGGCGGCCAGGAAGGGTAAGCCACAGCCAAGCTCCAAAACCGAGAGGTTTTGGAGGTCGTAGTGGTCCTGAACTCGGGAACTGGGTGATTTCAAACGAAAAATAGAAGAAATTCCATAGAAATCCATAAACCTTGGATGGATTTTTAAAAGACAACGAGTCACAACTCAGAAAACAAAGAGGATGGTCATGGGATTGCCAGGGAAAAACATGTTGTAGAAGCATGTAGGAACAGTGAACATCCAAGAAATCGATCGGGATTTCTAGAAGTATACAGAGTGGTAGCCAGTTAACATGGGGACATTCATAAGCCTCGGAAACTCGGGATCTCCAGACAGCATTATAATTAGAAACAAGATCAAAATGAGGCCCATAGTCTTTCTGACCGAATCCTTCGAGACATGATCATCTATTTGCAGGAATTCACCCATCCAATTACCAAAAGATTGTATCTGAGCATTTTTCTGCAGCGACCGTGCCTTTACTGTTAGACTCTCTTTCGTGAATGCCTGAAGCGTTTCGAGGCAGATGCTTCATGCACATCCTAAAAATCTGTCCGTCTGGAGCCCAACCCAATTTCCATTGCCTACATTTGGGTGCATCCTAGTTGCAACCACGTTACGCTTTCAGTGTATATAATCATATCATATATACCGGTATACAGTATAGCCCCGTCTATATGGTACATCACCATGTGTGCCGCTTCAACAAAAACCACATATATATATACATATATGTATGACCCACTGGGGCCCAAGCACTCCCCCCAAAATGGCAACTAATTCAGTGGAAGTCTATTACAAAACCCTTTGGGAATGGATCAACACCAATTCAACCATATTGCTATACCATATGTGAGGGTATGAACATCCACAAATCCCAGGTATTGGATGTTAAAAAGGGGGGTCAAGGCGGGATTTAAAAAAGGGTAAAATGACAGCCGCACCTGCACATTGTATGACTAGTGACTACATATACATAATATGTTAATCATTGTTTGGCAAACTCAAAATCAGAACACAGCAAAACCACCACAAAGTGCCTATGTAGATTCATAGAGATTCCAGATTGAACATCATCATACATCATCCAAGTTTCAAAAATCTCCAAGTTTCAAAGTGCCTATGTATATTATATTATGACCCCAAAAAACATATATCATAACTATGTTACCAATTCTTAATAACCATTATATATGTTAGATCATATAGTCATAATGCATATAGTTAAATCATACCCTCCAGTAAATTAACATAGACCCTGGTAGATAGGGGTTGGAAGATTAGTGTCCTCTGAAAATTGGTGATTTTCAGGGTCTATGTTAATTTACCAGAGGGTATCTGATTGGTATTTACCAGATGCTCCATGTATGGTATATTTACCTACATTTGGGCAATTTTTGGGGTAAATGTAGGTAAAGATTCCATACATGGAGCATCTGGGATATAGTTAAATCATAATACATTTTTTTATCTTTCTCCAAGTTTCAAAAAATCTCCGTTGCGTTACCAAGCGACATTCAAATGTCCCAGCAGTGCCAAGGCTCCAGGCCACACCTGCCACTGCCGTGACCGGCGACCATGAATTAAATTCACATAGCAACCCCAAAATAGATAGAAAATTATAAGAAAACCTGGACATATCACAATATATATATATATAATTGTATGTATATATATATTGAATTGTGTATTAAACATAATCTATAAGTCTATAATCTCCTAGAAACCACGGTTCGATCTATTTTCAGAAAGTTGGCTATAATCATAATAACAAGCAGGACAATGTTCAATAACCACTATAATTATTAACTTTGGTAGAATTAGAATAGTGGTTATGAACTAGTTATATTATATGTATATTACGCAGGTTGCTATCCAGTTGCCAACAAGGATGTAAATCCAAGTAGGAAGTTTGCAGATCCCCAAACCATCCCAAACCCATGGAATTCTTCAAGCAAAGCAACGTTTTTCTGTGTTGTTTTCGGTTGGGACACTCTGATAAGCAACCCCTGTGGAGTATCTCCTGTGACCCCATTTCAATTCAGTTTTGCAAGATTAGATGAATGGCTTACCATGGTTACTATGGGGTCCGCATAGTAATGGCTTCCACATGATAAGCCATGTGAATCATAGGGAGATGGCACCTATATGGGACCTGCTGGGCTGATCATTTTCACCCACAGCCACCTGAGATTGGCAATGGATGGATCTAAAATGATTTAAACTTAACTTAAACCATCTATTTTGTCAAACATATATAAAATTGGCACGTCATCATATATCATCAATAATCAATTACCTGGGCTGAATGGCTAAAAAACCCTTGGATCCTCAAATCAAAACTATTCTGTTGCTGGGAAACGCTTAGTTAGTAGCTGCTTGGTTCACCATTATCCATAGCTCCGAACTGCTGCCTCCATCCCTGGCGGCCTTATTGCCGGACCACTGTCCCGTGGCTTCCGTTTCCTCCCGCAGTTCCACTCGGACGTCCGTCCCCACGTCCAGCACATGGTGGGCACGGGGCGCACGAGGGCAGCGGCCAAACGTGGCCGCGGGAAGCGAAAGGAGGAGCAGGAGCCTGATCTGTCGGTAACCAAAGATCTGTGTTTTTATTGGTAAACGAAAGAACAAACATCTCTCAAAGGTTGGAGATTTGTTTTTCCCCTCCTATGGTGTTTTTGGAGAATGAATGTTCATCATATCTACCAGGAATTGCAATTGTGGTTGCAACATTGGCTGGATAGTATGAGACTTGACATGCTTTGGTTGTGTTCCCACCGTTGTTGGTCAATAATATCAAAACAGCAGGGAAACAAACCTGCAAGATTGGTATAGAATAAATTTTGTGGATATGTGTTTATTTTTTTTCGGGGCTCTGTGGCCAAAATTAGAGGTCCAATCTAAATGTTAAGGGCTGTAAGCTACATGTGCATGGCTCAAGTCATGGAGCATGCCATCAAAATGGGTAGATCAATGGCCGCAAGGCCCGTACTTCTACCTGATTCTACCTGGCCCCAATGGATGTACAGTAACATTTTCAGCATTGACCATCATTGACCACTGACCTTTTTGACGAAATAACATGAAATAACGAAACACCCAAGTGCGATCTTGTCGGCCCAGCAGCCAGAAAGCACAGAGCATCGAGATACTCCTCCAAAAAGCTGGAAGGCAAAAAGGCTTGGAACGATTGAAGATAGCCTCTGGTAATCAAACATGGCGTGCTGGACAATTCCCAGAGCCGACTTAGTTCGTTGATGTTCCCATCGAAGGCTTGGATTTTAGCATTGAAGCTCTATATCTTGGGGGGCCATGATACAGGGGTTCCATAAATTGGGGATCCCCGAAATGGTTGGTCAAAAAAATGGACAATCCATCTATAAATGGATGATAACTGGGGTACCCCCATGACTAAGGGTGGTACTTGGATTAATGTCATTTCCCTGCAAATGCTGGAAGGACTTGGGATGATCCGTCTCTGGAAAAACACAGAATCTGCGTGGTCCGAGAGCCGCAACCTCAAAATGTCCGTTCTTCACAAGTTGCTGTATAGGTGTTCTGTTTGATCTGTTGATGTCTTTATCTATTGGATCCTAATTGACTCACCGTTTTCATCATTTGTAACCGCTGCGAACCAAGGAATCCTCGCTTCCGGTTTTCGACAAAATGACGGAAACTAATTCGTGGACCCAGAAGCACTCTGCCATGTTGACCCCGATGCTACTGTGGAAACCGTCTCTACCGCAAAACGGTCTCCTAGTTCATCCAGCCAAAAGTAGTGGAAGCCGCGCGCAGGAAGCCGAGCACATGGCTCAGCAAGCACATGGGGATATTTACTGCGATATTAATGCGATAATGCATATAGATAATCATAGAATATCATAGATATAGAGACGGAGAGAGAATTATATAGAACATATTAGAACATTGTGCAACCAACTTGATATGATCTGTGAGTTTGTCCAGCTTCGAATTGGAAAAAGCATGGGTGAATGGTGAACTATGATTTTTTGGGATTTTCTCCAATAATTTTCAGATAATTTCAGACAAATCCACCATTTGTCTAACACATTTCAATTGATTTCAAAAAAAAACATAGCTGTTGGAGGGGTCACATATCAGCTATCAAGCCCCGGGCAGTTGAAAGCGATGATAGATGGCTGCTTGGTTTACTTCAAACAAAGCAAGTAGATACCCTCCTGTAAACGTTTAGAGTTTACCCACCATACAAGTAGATCATGTTCAAAAAACGGGTAAAAACCCATGGCTTTTGCTTTTTTTTTGTATAGTTTACAGGAAATCCCAGGCTAAAACCCATACAAATCACCATTTTTGCTGAAGCAAATTTAGAGACCCTTCGCCACCCCCCAGCTCGACCCGCCGCTGGCCACCTGGATTAATGTGCAGGCTATGCAGGGTATCCAACTCCGAACTTCGACCTTGGCACGGGAAAAGTTTCATCACCAACATGGCATTGAATGGGGGAAATGATGATTAACTAGTAATTAACATATATAACTAGTGGATGGAATGAGGTACCCTCGGTACCCTGTTCTCAGACACATCCCTTTTTTTCACCAGCGAGAAAGGGGGATTGAACTCGCAGGATTTTATGACCTGGGGTATCCCCAGAATTCACCGATCAATCAGAACAAGATCAATATTTGTACGGTAGTAGCGACCGCAATAGCAATTCTGTGAGACTGTAAATACTTAACTGACGGCATTCACTGCTGGAAAATCACATGGCACCTGGAAAATGGCGTCACAAATAGATGGTTTCGCTATGACCGTTTGGGTCCAGCGGTTCAACTTCATCAGTGCACCAACAATAATTATGGTATGGAGGTTTCCACTGGGGGTACCCCAATAGCTAGTTGGTTTAGAATGGAAAATCCCATGAAAGAATGCATGAGTTTGGGGGTACCACCATTTAGGAAGCCCCCATTTGTGAAGCTGGAACATCATGTATTTTTGAAACTTTTCTGGTTTGCGGTTTCAGCCCTCCTCCAAACATTGGGGATCATGAATCATTCCAGTCGCAGATGGATTGAGAAAGTTTGATTTGTCCGAAAATGGGATACCAACAAATTTGATGATTTTTCATGGTGTTTCATCATATTTCCCATTTTCCGGTGGCCATTTTGAGGCTATACGTACCCCATTTTCAGATATTGTAACCGTTGTAACCCCAAAAAATCTCCCATTCATGTCATATTCGTGTTGCATTTCGGTGCTTAAATCCACCCTCCAGTAAACTATAACAATTTGCTATTGAAACTATGACCATTGAATCATGGTTGATTTACCCATGATTTTACTCGTGGATCTTTCATGATCTTTCCAGTTCGTTAGGTCTACCAGAAAGTAGCCCAAAATCTCATGATTACCCTCTGGTAAACTAACATAACTATGGAAAATCACCATTTTTAATGGGAAAATCCACTATAAATGGTCATTTTCAATATCATGTGCCACTAATTTTACTATGGCACATGATAGTGGCACATTTTACTGTCTTCGTTAGGTTTCCAGGATAGTACCCCATAGTACCCCAAAAAACATAGTACCAGTAAGTATCCCTCATTTTCCTCACTCTGTTTTTTACTATGTGTGTCGGTCATCCCCAGCGATTTCCCGTCATCGTTTTTTGCCTCCGGGGACCCCGGCCCACGCTTTGCAGCGTGGGATCTCGAGCAATGCTGGAGTCCTCGTCGAAAATCATGGGACGTTCTAAAGCTCGGAATCTCGTATATATCCTCTGGTAAATTAACATAGACCCTGAAATATTCCATAGCAAATGGTATTAAAAATGGTAAATTAACAGTTGGACCCTGAAAATAGCCTAGTCTGATGGAAACTAATCTTCCAACCCCGAAAAATGCCAGGGTCTATGTTAATTTACCAGAGGGAAATTAATGGGGGGGTTCACTAATATGTCATGAACCTTACTGATATCATGGGGATATCAATGGTAATGGGGAGTTTGTTTCATAATTGGAAGATGTTTTGTGGATATCAGTGGGATATAAGTTGTTGTACTTTGGGATGCAGCTACATACGCTACATGCTTGACCGGCCTTACGAAATCACCAAGTTGATGCACATAACTTGGCGAATTCTAGGGTTTATGAGATATAAGTGATATAACTATAGTATACTATAGTATTCATGGGTGTATAAACCAACAAACATAAATGGGGGGGCCTCACCCTGTATTATCCTGTATCTCTAATATGATTCCTGCTCAATCATATCCTGGATTGGGGCCATGTGTGAACAAAGATTAGTCGTCAGATGGGCTTGGCCAGACCCACTGTTCCCATGTTCTGGCCATCAAATGTGGGCCCAATTGTCCATGTCTGGACAAACCCCCCAAAAAAAAATGTCCAAAGTTGAGGAATATCTCATCCATTTAATCAGTCACTGATTCAGCCAATCAGTCAATGAATCAATCGATAAATCGATAAATCGATCAATAAGTCAATAAATCAATCAATCAAATCAAATGAAATCAAATCTCTGTATATACATATACATATATATATATATATATACGCAAATAAATATATATATATATACATATGTAATGTATAAAATATACGTGCATCCATATATATATATATATATATAACATATATCTATAAATCTCATGGCAATCATTACATCCTCCCAACTCCTGCAGCGTGTCTTGCACGTCTTGCACCGGCAAGGCCAAGGACAAGGGAGGCAGCGGCGAGCCCTGAGCGGCTGAGCCGAAGGCTGGGGACAGGCCTGTGGTTATGTTTCTAAAAACCGCCCTGGAAAATAATGGGATAATGGATATGTATATTATATATATATATTATATATGCATATAACTTATATAACCAACATTAATCAACAAGAATAATGGTCATCAATGGAGATTATATAGTGAATGGTCCGTGTATAAACGATTTACCTATAAAACATGGATAAAACTTGTGATTAATTTGGATTTAAGCAGCAAAAACTGACGAACTTCACAGTTTGATAGAATGGGATATATAACTTAACCAATATTCATCAACAAGAAGTGGGATATAACAAATGTGAATAATGGTTATTAATGGGGATTATAATATATTGCAATGGGATATACAACCGGCAGTAACCAACAAGAATGGGAACATGGATGATACTGATATTGACAATGGGGATAATTACTGTAATTATAGCTCGGTTACCGTCCAGCAATCAAACCTAGCATGGAGGTTTCTAAATAGTAAAATCATCTATAAATAAGCCAAGTTCATCCATTTTCCAGCAAGCCATTTTTGATGACACCCAAGGGTAACCATCGAAAACAGAGAAAATCCTCATCAAGAATATTCGGATTTGACCATCAACCATGTTCAAAAATGGTGGAATAACCTTTGGCAGTTCGTTGCGCTATGGTAATTTTTTGGCATCATGTGATCCCCTCATAGGGGTGTAAGATGGTGGAAGCCGCAAACATAGTATCTGAAGCAACAAATGGTAAAGGTATTGGGGGTAGGGATTCGATAAAAAATTGTGTTTGTGTGTGTTTTTTTGTAAGAACTCAGTGGGAATTAGATGGGGATTACACTCTCAAACCTGTGGGAATATAATGGAACATCTTCGGAATTATCATGGGGATAAACAACAAAAATACACGAATACCATTGGATTTTATGGGGATAATCAACAGAACTGTGACACATTGACTATGAGCATAAGAGGTATACAACCAAGAATATGTTTTTTTGGGTGCAGCTGGGGTTAGATAGGTCAACACTGGTAATTTAATATTCGGTGATGGGATTGGCAGGGGTTTATGACCCATAACCTGCCATATGAAATCATATAGTCTTTGCAACAATGGTACAACAACGATGATTGCAATGATAGCAATAAATATTCATTGATATATATATAATATATATATGGTATATATTTATGGTGTATGTATATATGTATATATATATACACACGTATATATGGTATGTATATACATATATATATATATGGTATAGATATATATGTATTAATATGGTGTATATTATATGTATAGTTGTGATTCTATGATGATGATAATGATACTAAGAATGCAATAAAGGAAACCAGACACTTGTACAATGACAATCCAATAAAAATACTTAAATACGTGGAAAAAAATGTTGTTGTGATGGGTAATTGCCACCAGGTATAGCTGTTCAGACTTGAAGTTTCCCAAAGAGATTCGGACCATCCGACCTGACTGGATCATATTGGATCTATATACTGATATCTACTGTATATTCATCTTCAAAAAATAAAAATGTCCAAGATTTTGCAGACAATCAGTGAATCCCAATTTGGTATTTTATCATGCTATATGTGTCGGAAACAATTAAATGAAAGTTCTGTATAAATGGTAATACAAGCTAAAGAAAAACCAAGTTTGCAGAAACACCACAAACCAAAGTGCTTCAAACCACCTCGGCTTCTGCCGTGACGTTGTGTCTTGAGACCTCCCAAAGAGATATCGGTCGAGAAAATGGGAGATTTTCTGGAGATTCACAGCTCAAAATGATTCCCAAACAATGGATGATCTGATTTTATGTACCCTCTGGTAAACCTACAAAAAACTATGGAAAATCACCATTTTCAATGGGTAGTCATCCACTATTTCGATTGGGTCATTTTCAATAGCAAACTGTTAGTTTACCAGAGGGTAGGTAACTGATGCAGTTGCTAAAAAATGGCAACTAAATTTTACTTATCTTCTAGTTAGCTAGTTCCAAAATAGGAACTTCATGGCTCGGTCATCCCATGGCCGATTTTGCCCAATGGGGAGGGTTAGAATCATCCCATGCCCAACGGGCCAACGGGCCATGGTTTGAATGTAAACAATAGATGGAGTTGCTAAATGAGGTTTCAAACTTCTACTTTGGTGCATGGTGTAACTATGTGTAACTACAAGATGAACAAATCCGCCAAAAAATCCGCCTTTCTTTCAAACAATGTCCACGAATTTCCTATACTCCCCTCCCCCGATCATCGCAAATATGCCCAGAATCTGACCCGACATTTATACATTAACAAGAACAAAAGATCGAAACATCCCAGTTTTATGTCCGGAACATTTCGGGATGATGATGATGATGGCTAATCTAATGGTTATTTCCTAGCCCTTTCCGTTGGGATCCCATGGATTTTCCTCATGTTTCCTCTTCAACAACTCCCTGTTTCGCCTGCAGGACGGTAAGATCCTGTGGGCCGCTGGAGTCCAGTTGCACCGTGTAGGCCTCGGCCGTCTCGTGGTACCTGACGGGTGAAGGATTGGACTGTGGATGGTTACGACTTTTTTTTGCACCAGGGGTACCCGGCCTGGTAAACATACAAAAAGCTATTGAAACTGGCCATTTATGGTGATTTTCCATAGCTATGTTAAATTACCAGAGGGTAACATGCGGTAACTAAAAACCTTTGGATGTTGAATTTCAATCACTGTAAATCCATGGGATGTTGGAATAAACCATCATAAACCATCTACCCTGGCAAGAAATTTTACAACCATCCACAGAATGGAGGAAAATGATGGAAAATTATGGAAACCTTTGGAAGATATAGGAAAATGGAACATTCTGAATTACACCCTTTAGACCCCAAACAGTTATTCCATATCCGTTGCAACATCTTTTGCATGTTTGTGGTTATACTCGCTCCTGCTGGCAATGTTTGATCCATGTCAACTGAGAACAGCATGAATCACAAGCAGCATTGTCTCATTGTTTGTCACGACATTGGTATCTGAGACAATAAGAGGGGGACAAGGTAGGAGACAAGTGGGAGACAAGTTGTAAAACGCATAAAACCATGGTGGAACATGATTCTATCTTGAGACAACAAAAAGACACAAAGGGAATAAAGAACAGAGACAAGTAACGAAACGCGGAAAAAAAAACATGATGATGAAACCAGAACAGGACACCGCGACTAAGGCAGACATAGGATTGGAGACAAATGACTTCGGAGACAGATGAAGTACGAGAAAGATGGTGAGAGACAAATGATGAGAGACAAGTCAAAGCACAGAAAAGACGTCCGGAGAGCCGGGCACCACTAGACGGTGTGGGAGACAAATAAAGGGAGACAAGTGCAGCGACACATCCAAAGAGCCGGACACCAGTAGCCAAAGAGGGAGCCAAATGACGGGAAGCACCCAGAGAGTCGGACACGAGTATAGGCACACCAGGAGACAATCACTGGGAGTGACATGAAGGGAGACAAGTGAAGAGGAACGACCTGAAAGCCGGACATGACTGGACGAATGAAGGGAAACAAGTGAAGAGAGACATCCAAAGAGCTGGACACCACCGGCCAGACTGGGAGACAGTGGGACAGTAGAGCGACAGTTTGTGGACAGTATCAATGAGGACTGTACTCTACAACTGGTTCATATACTTAAGGGTCAAAAATTAAATGCTTCTAAAATCAAAGATTGTTATATATATTATATATATACACCCTTGGGGCGGGGGTTCCCCGAGGGGGGAGGAGGGGTGGGGTGGGGTGGGGGGGGGGGTGGGGTGGGGTTGGGGTGGGGTGGTTGGGGTGGGGGTGGGGGTGGGGGTGGGTGGTTGGGGTGGGGTGGGTGGGGTGGGGTGGGGTAAAAAAAAACGTTCATGTAACTTGCGTAGAATTGGAGGCGACGTGCATGCTACGTGGATGTTACGGTCATTCTAAAGTCATGTTATGTACTTCTCAGGCATATGCCATGTTACGCTAGTGTAAGTTCTCTTGTAATTGTGACGTCTACGTCATGCTACGCTAGTGTCAGTTTCTCTTGTACTTGTCATGCATGAGTCATGCTACGCTAGTGTAAGTTCTCTTGTAATTGTGACGTCTAAGTCATGCTACGCTAGTGTCATTTCTCTTGTACTTGTCATGCATGAGTCATGCTACGCTAGTGTAAGTTCTCTTGTAGTTGTGACGTCTACGTCATGCTACGCTAGTGTAAGTTATCTTGTAGTTGTGACGTCTACGTCATGCTACGCTAGTGTAAGTTATCTTGTACTTGTCACGCATACGTCATGCTACGCTAGTGTCATTTCTCTTGTACTTGTCACGCATACGTCATGCTACGCTAGTGTCATTTCTCTTGTACTTGTCACGCATACGTCATGCTACGCTAGTGTCATTTCTCTTGTACTTGTCACGCATACGTCATGCTACGCTAGTGTCATTTCTCTTGTACTTGTCACGCATACGTCATGCTACGCTAGTGTCATTTCTCTTGTACTTGTCACGCATACGTCATGCTACGCTAGTGTCATTTCTCTTGTACTTGTCACGCATACGTCATGCTACGCTAGTGTCATTTCTCTTGTACTTGTCATGCATGAGTCATGCTACGCTAAGTTCTCTTGTAGTTGTGACGTCTACGTCATGCTACGCTAGTGTAAGTTATCTTGTACTTGTCACGCATACGTCATGCTACGCTAGTGTCATTTATCTTGTACTTGTCACGCATACGTCATGCTACGCTAGTGTCATTTCTCCTGTACTTGTCACGCATACGTCATGCTACGCTAGTGTCATGTCTCTTGTACTTGTCACGCATACGTCATGCTACGCTAGTGTAATTTATCTTGTACTTGTCACGCATACGTCATGCTTTGCTAGTGTCTTTATCTTGTACTAATGCTTTTGTATAAAAACAGAAAAAAACAGCTGACTCACAGCACTCGGAAATTTTGATGATATGCAAAATCACTGTGCATTACCAATGAAAAACAACATCACATCAAAATACCTTTGGAAACACAGTATATTATACCCTTTTCCAATGATCTTTGGTATAGCACAAAATGTGCACCTCGTAATTCCAATTGAGAAAATAAGAACACCAAAAAAAACATATTGTGATGGTCCATAATTGACTTCAACTTCGACGGACGAAAAAAAAATGATCCGTAATTGAAAGACACCAACAACGAAAAGAACGACATGAAAAATCTCCATTTTACCACAGTGAAACACTGTTTTTTCTCCAATTCAATGATCCTGATTGACGTCCTCTCGGGGAACCTCCTCCCCCTGCCGTATATATATGTAGTTACATATACATATTAATATAATATATGTAATGTATGCGTATATATATATATATATACATGTTATATATAAGAGAAATTTGGATATATTTATCTTTTGTTCCACCCCACCCAGGTTTATCCAACGCGTTTCCTACCTTGGCAATTTGTTGATCGCTAAAGAAATTCAACTTTTGCTGGGATAAATGGTCAACCGACCCATCTAGCCTCTGGTGATTTAATATATATATATAATTATATCATATATATGTAGTATAGTATAGCAGTATAGCTATGAAAAATCACCATCTTTTATAGGCAAATCATGGTAAATCATCTATAAATGCAGCGGAGGGTAATTCCGAAGAGGCTAAACGATTCGAGTTCTACGGCTCCATCCAGTGATGTAGTTCCGCGCCACAACCAGTCGTGGAGCGAGTGTGTTTGGTACCTGGATTTTTTTTTTTCGGGGAACCCACATGTTGAGACATTTCCCATGGCGTAAACCCAAGTATCATACGGGTGTTTTTTACATTCCAACATAAGCCTATAAACATACCGGCTACGCATCCAGCTTTGCTTCGTGAAATCTCCATAAAATGTCACCGTTCAACATGCAAAGTGAGGCTCCCCAGTTGCGTTTGTTGGTTTGTAAACCCATTAGAATCCCATTTATAGTTATTATATCCCCTCTCATGGTATACTAATCATACAAGGTGGAACCCCCCCAGTTATAAGTTGGTTTATAAACCATAGGAATAGTATAGAATGTACATAAATTCCAACATTTAGGCGTAACATTTCCCCCTAAAGTTCATCATTGCACGGCGTGTTATTCTTACTTACTTCGAAATCACCACAAACATCCCATTATTTTGCAGCTCCATAAACATCCACAGTCATGGCTGGTACGCAATACCATGGTCACTTTGTGCTTTTGTCCAAATTCTCCATAAAATTCGTCACCGGACCGGATTTGCAAAGCTGAGGCTCCCCAGTTTGCTATTCGAACCATCTATAACCTAAACCTGTTGTGTTGAGACATCCCATTAAACTATCAGATTAACATAAGCCGGCTACGGCTTTTTTGAAATTCCATTGGTTCAATGGTGAAAAACATCATGGATAAACTCCTATAGTCTAATCATACAAGGTGGAACCCCCCCAGTTATAAGTTGGTTTATAAACCATAGGAATAGTATAGAATGTATAGATATATCTACCATAAATAAACCCAAGTGAAATTTGAGTTATGTTTACCAACTTCGCGATTTAGCTCACTGGGGCACCACCTTGTAACATTTCCCCCTATCGGCCCCAAGGAATTCACCAAGATCCCCGACGCTTGCACCACACCGGCGTGACCATTATAGGCACCCACAGACTCTGGGCCGCCTGGAGGGGTATTGTGGTTTCTTACTGTGGATGGTTGCGAAATCCTGCACCAGTTGAAAACGGTGGTAAACATCCCATTATTTTGTTTGGGTTTCAGCCATCCAAGGATCCAAGGTGGTGCAGGATTTCGCAACCATCCACAGTCATGGATCCCCGTGGTACCATGATTGTTTCAATACTAAGTCATGGTCACTGGATTTGTGCTACCCCAAGGATTGGAAACCAAGAAAAACTGTCCAAAACTTCTACGAGATGCAGAAACGCTTCGTTTTGAATGGATATTCGTCAATGGGTATCTTTAGGTCACTATTTTAGGACCGGATTTGATTTTTCTGCATCTTTCTGAAGGGTTTGCTATAACCATCTATAACCTAACTGTTGTGTTGAGCAGAGGAACAAAAACCGACATGCTTTTTAATTCATTCCAATGGTTGGTTCATCTGGATTCCAGTCGTCCATTGTGATAACCTCAAATAGTATACCCCCTGGTAATCAAATATGGCTAGCTGGAAAATCCCCATTGACTCTGATGAAAACACCCAGCAGTTATACTCCATTCGTTTGGGGATTGAACAGACAGCCGCGTGAGCCAAGATCGGAGAAAGCCAAGAGCCATCATTTTCACACACGTAAACCCAACAATTTAACAACGAAACTGGTCCTTTCTCAAAACTTTTCTAAGACAACATACGAATACAAGACAACAATGGAAGGCCTTTTTTCTCTTTACGATATTGCAACACATATCATGTTCAATCAAATTGTAAACAGCATCGCCTTTACCCCTCATTCGAAAATCATCGAACATCTGTTTGCTGGTTGAATTTCCATTTCAGCTGAAGCAATACATAGCTATGGAACATGGCTCATTTGCTTCGATGATTTACCTCTTTAGAATGCTGGTGTTCACTCACTATATTAGATTACCAAAGGGTACGAGTAGCAAACACTGTTAGAATCTGTTGGATATAATTCATAATTACATATTAATATTGTTGTTCCCTCTACTCCACGTGTTTTTCTCATCATTTTCCCCCTTGATTTCGCCCGTTTTCGGATGGTTAAATCCAGACACCAAGGACGCCGCTGCCCGCCCCGTGGCCCCGTGGTGTCCTGAAAGGAACACGCGCGTGCCACGTGGAAGGTGGGAAACTTCCTGGCGCTATGACTTGACGGGGTGAGCTGTACCGCCAAGTCGGTCTCTGGTAATTTAAGTTACAGTTAGCTGTTGAAAATGGTAGAAATAGTTGATTTAGAGGTTAAAAATGGGGATTTTCCAGTTCGCTATGTTTGTTTACTAGAGGGTATGTGGATCCATATACGTGGAGGTTTCCTAAAATGGGGATACCCCAAGATCATGAACCATTTTAGTATTGAAACCCACGGCTTTGGGGATCCCCAATTTTAAGAAACCTCCATATATAAAGACATAAAATGTGTACATGCATAGGCAAGTGTTTCATGGTGTTAATATAAGTGTTTCAATACTATACCCTGCTACTAAAATCTCCAACATGTTTCCAGCATGGACAGGGAATGAACCGATCATCTACTCATTACAATCTCTTTGTGGTGTGCAGTTTCTTCAGCCGTTCATTTTATCAGAGAGCTTACCATCCCTGGAAGATAACATGTTTCGACCCCGGCATGCGTTGGCTCGGCTCTATGCGACTTGGGAGGTCACTAAAACTTCACCATTTGGGCATCAAAGCATGGTCACATGGCCGTGAGGCGGGCGGACGGGGTCAGCATGCCCCAGCTGTTCATGGGTGACTTCACGTGGCATCAAACTTGGAAAGTCTATTAGGTAACTCTACCTTTAGGCCACCCTCTGGTAAACTAACATAGCTATAGAAAATTACCATGTTCAATGGGTAAATCAACTATAAATTGCCATTTTCAATAGCTATGTTCGTTTACCAGAGGGTATATCCTGGATGATAACATAGAAAGGTTCCACTTGCTGACCAATGCCGAACATCTGAATCTTCGCCAAAAACCAGGGAAAGTCACCAGGAAGATTATATCCCCAACAACCATTGAACAAATTGTATTAACCAGCCACAAAAGATAGAACAGTAAAGTCCAATCCAAAAATATCATTGATATTCTATTCATATGGGTATAGTATCCATTAGATACTCATTAGATATTAGATACCCATTAGATAATAGATTCATAGATAAAGTCCCAGATAAGTGTCTGTTGACTCTCCTATTGAGGCTTACAACATGGATGTAGAATCCCATCGGGAAAAACCCTCAAACCATCAGTCAACACCAGTTTAAGACCTGACCTAACACGGAAAAACTTCCATTGTGAACAAACAAACCCAAACAAAACATCAACCCACATTAGGTAACCGCATCAACCCGAACAAAAATAGAATCTCCACGTCTTGGGGGTTTTCAAGTCATGGTATCGCCCAAGTCATTGGTGAAAACTCCCTCTGAGTTGACATTGGTGAAATCCCACAGATGGGCCACCTTTGTAGCCTAAAACCTGCTACGTAAAAGAAAGCCAAAAGAAAGCCATTCCGATTTTTTACAAAGGGTCAAAGTTCAAGTGTAGAATTTTCAAAATCCCCAGCTTTTTTTGTTATAGATCAAATCTCAAGTCTTGTTAAATCCACTTTTTATCAGATCGCAGGTTGCCGTAGGTGGCTTCTTCAGGGATCCACAACAAAAACTCTGCTGGTTTCAATACTAAACTTGTCCAATGACTTGGATGTTAAATGGGTACCCTCCTTTTTTACTTAGGAAACCTCCTTTTTACCATAGCCACTCAGCAATCCTCCGGCTGAGTAGCATCTGTTGGTTGTGGCGGTCGCCTTGGCTACATGCAAGGCAGAGCATCAGTTTGTTGATGTTGAACACACGTTTCATGGGGAAATTTAAGGAAGATAAGCCATAAAATGGTGATAAATCAATGGATGCTAACGGGATTGAATGGGATGTTTTCATGGGATTCAAGCAAGAACCATGGTGATTTCGGTGGCTTTTACCCTGGGGTAAACATACCAAAAGATATGGAAAATCACCATGGTTTCCTGTTCGGGAAATGATCTACTTTTCCGGTGGGTTTTTCCCGTTATGTGTACGCCGGAGAGTACCAACCATGTTTGGGGAATGATCTTGGTGGTTCTGGTTTATGGTGATAGATTTTTGTGTGAAATGAATATTATGCGAAGCCTAAAATGGGTTGAAGTCTAAAAATGGAGGGTTTCACCCCAGCCCCCAGTTATGGTTATGGCCATCAAATAGAAGGGAAAATGATGATCGACCGTAAGGGTTTGGGGTACCATATTTTCAGAACCATAGAATCTGGTCATGTGGTCATGTACCTACCTTCATACAGTAATTACATATCAGTGATGCAAACAAAACCTTATGTTCTTATCTCGTCTTGTTTGTCCAACAGACTTGGTACATTGAGATGTATATCAATATAACATTCATACAACATATGAACATAGTTTACATTTAAGGTCAGCGCAAACTTATCAGCCCCGCGAGCAAAAACTCGCCAGGAATAGTGGTGGAGTATATGGGGCTTTCCATAAAACTGTGGTATCCCAAAATGGATGATTTATAAATGGATGATTTGGATTAATTACCTCCATGGACCCAATATATATATATATATACACACACACAGACCGTACGTATATATAAATCCATTATAAATCTATACTACATGTGGTTGTTTGTCTAAGAATCGGGTTTACCCGCCCAAAAAGGGTAAATTTTCTGGAGAAAATGATGAAGCAGTTGATTTGGGGGTGCCCTTTTGGAAAAAAAAAACATGGCTTTCCACCACAACCTACATCTACAAAGCGCCACAGCCCTCATTTTGTTTCGCAATGGGAGAGCACGCTGAAGAATGGTGCCAACTGAGCAGGGGATCTGATGGGTGGCGCCATGATGCAACTGGAGCTATCTTCGTGATGTGATTTTTATGGGTGCCTCTGAAAATGGGGGATCCTCAAAATGGCAATTTTTTCATAGGGAAGATCAATGGCCATTTCAGGATCCTAAATTGGAGGTACCTACCATATATAAGGCCTATGTAAGGCCTATGTAAGGGAATATCCCCACAATATATGACCTTATATGAAATTCCCATTGAGAAGATTGTGATTAACCATTGGATTTTGGGTACACTATGATTCAAACACAGCCAATTGGTGTTTCCAAAAATATCCCAAGAAAGGATAACAACTGCAGTGGATGGCTACAATACATCCAGTTGTCCAAACCAAGATCTATCTGGCATTCAACCGTTTATCTCGTCCGGTGCCCAGAGAGCCTGCGAGCTCTCCTTTCCGGACTCGAAGTCCGGCCGTGAATGTATGGAACATGTGGAGGTTTCCGAAGTCATTGGGGTACCCCCAAATCATCTATTTATAGATGGATTTTCCACTATAAACCATCCATTTTTGGGGTAGCCCCCATGACTTTGGAAACCTCCATGTGTCACCTGTGGGGTGGTTGCTCATGATACAAATGTAATGCTAGGCAATCATAATACAAGACATGGATACCCTCTGGTAATTTGTTACAGTTTACTATTGTATAGATGGCCCATTTAGTTCATTGATTTACCGAACTTAAAGATGGTGATTTTCCAGTTCGCTATGTTAGTTTACCAGCGGGTAGTTTGAGCCTTGGGATATTAAACAGCTGGTTCATAATGTTCAAACACACCAACATGACTCCATAATTTCAACCCTCAGTTCTTTTCAACATGCGTCTGGGCCATCTTGCAATTTGGACAATCATCATGATTGGCAATGAAGCTCCCTGTGCACCCCTCATCTGCACCCCTCATCGGTTATAATCCCGTCCCACCAATATCAGTTCCATTCAATGGGTCTTGCAAATGAAAACATATACAGTATACAATATTAGTTCAGGGAGGTATTTGATGTTTGGGGCCGTGCACAAATAAGGTACCCAAACATCCCATGGTCATCATGTTGTCAAAACAGCAATCTCTGGGTGTATGTTTTTCCATGTCTAGACAAACTGATCACGAGCAAGGAATTCTGAATTCTCCGTGCTTCTCAAGCACTCAAGGTTCCCAATGTGAAAACAGCCACAGTCTCAAATCCTCTGGCCTTCATGGCATTAAGCCCCTCAAAAGGGGGGCAGCCCAGTCAGTGTCCAGAATGTGAAGATCGGCGAGCTGCTCCAGCTCGGTCTGTGAAGTCATTCATATGTTGAAAGGACACATTTCAGTTACCAAAGACGCGACCAGCATGAATACCAAATGGCACCAGCATTTTTTGAACAGTTTTGCCACCCCGGCCATGATCTTAAGACATCAGTCTATGTGGCTTATGTTTTAAATCATCACCTGATGTTTTGCCGTTTGGCTTGTGGAATTCCTCAACTGGGAACTTTCTTCGGTCAAGCTAAGAAATTCCAAGTGGGTTCACTCACAATCTCCACTGAATACAGGCAGGGGCATATGAAATCTTGGAATATCTAGTTTATGCGCTGCAAAAAGAGCCTTCAAAGCTTCAAACCTTTCAGCTGCTTCCTCTATTTTCCCCAAATCTTCAAAGACGAATTCACAGACCAAACAAGCTACAAGGTGAGGCCGTAGCTAAGAAGTTGCAACGCACATTAATATAACTTGGTGAAAAAACGGTGGTTTATAGGGGATACAACATTGGTTATGATTGGTTTATAATGGTTTATAATGGTTTATAATGTTTTATAATGTTTTATAATGGTTTATAAACCAACTTTTATTACATCAATTACATCTTAATCTTAAGAATCTTAGGGCCTTTCTGTTGTAGATCTTCTAGTCATGACTGACTACGAGCGTTCGTGAACCAACTGGGATCTGTGCATTCCGGACACCCAAATCGCTCGCAGATCTCACGCGAAGCCGCGAACGGCAGGTTCTAATGGGTCCCGTGTTGGTCGATATCATCGGGAGGTTTGTGAACCCTCTCAGTCTGTGATGATTAAAATTTATATGAAAAAACAAAAAAAGTGCCAGTTTTTTGGAATGATTGATGAAATATGATGAAATCATGATATCCGTACTTCTGACGATTCCTGAAGATGTTAGTTGATCATCGCCATGTTTCTGAGGGCAGCAGTCGAGGGCCTGAGCACAGCATAGCACAGTTCGACCAGGAGATTTCTGGGGACATGGAAGTATCATTCACATAAAGACATACTGTTGGGTTACCCTGGGTAATGGTGGATGTTAGTGGTTTCCAGTTCAAAAAATACTGTCATTTTTTTAACATCAAGACGATATGTGAAACCACTGACATCCACAACTAGATCTGGAGAATTCTGAATAAGCAAGAATGGGAAGGGTACACGGGTACACAACATTGAACTTCATTGAACATGAATGATCAAATAGAGAATAGCCTCTGGTAATTCAACGTAGCTATGGAATACCACCATTGTCCATTTCTATGGGCCATTTTCCAGCCATTTTCCATGGTAGTTCCATGTAGCTATGTTAAATCAGAGGATTTCAGACCGCCTCAAATCATGGGAATCGCAACGCACCTAAGTTGACCCAAGACCTTCGACATGTGAACGTGTACATAGGGATCAAAATTCGACAAGTGTGGAATAGTGTACTGTAGATGTTCATCCTAAGTCTACATGTGGTTCTGGTTACGAGTCAAAACCCTGGTACCCTACCCGAAAAATCCCGAAAATAGCTGGTTGATGGTTATCCCCCAGTCAATAGGTCAATAGGTACCTATCCCCTTTTTGATTCTCTGTTACTCAAATCGCCGCATCGCCTAGGTTGAAAAAGGCGAATCAAAGCCAACTGTCGTATTGTTCTGGGTAAATTATAATATTTCAGTAACCTGAATTAAGGCCATTTGGGGATGATTTCCCTTACTAACCATGATTTCCAGTGAGGTCGTAGTGAGGTCGTTATAATTTACCCAGATTGTTGGTTGTATAATGTATTATAATGTTGTATGCTCCAAATGAATCCCATTATTGTCATTATTAAATCCCTTCTCTGGTGGTTAAATCAACCATTTATGCCCCTTTTTTTTTGGGGGGGGGGACAAATCCACATCCAAACATTCCAACCTACGCGGGACTCCAACATGAAAAAAAAGAAGTGGCTGAAAACCAGTAGATTTCCCGAAGGCCATTGCCGATGTGAGATAAAACATAACAGGGATTTAAAAATACAGTAACTATACATTTAAATATACGGACTTTAAATTATCCGAACAGGTATTTTAGACTACCTCCAGGAAGATTTTCCCTTGGCCCGCCCAGCCATTTAACATACGGAATCCAATTCATTTAATCATATGGTATCTACATTTAAATTTAAATATACGAACTGGTATTTCATAAAAACCTCCGGGGCCTCGCGGTCTGGCCCGCCCTCCACATATTCAAATGTCGTTACTGTATATGTGTCAAAAGTGAGTGTTTGAAGGTAGCCACTAAGATCCGTTGGGTCACGGATGTGAAGTCCTCCAAGTGGGTTCCAATTTGGTTCAAACATGTTATCAAAGGATATCTGTTTAAATTTAAAAAAAACAATGCCATAATCAGCCAAGTCATCACTAACCTTAGATTCGACCCCGAAAAAATAATAAGTTACTTACTCCCCTCTGGTAATTTAACATAGCTATGGAAAATCACCATTTTTAATGGGAAAATCCACTATAAATGGCCATTTTCAATAGCTATGTTAAATATCTGTATGGATCTTCCCCGATTTCTGGCAACCATCCCACACCCCGCGCCTAGCCATTGTTCGGCCTGGGAGACGGCACGCTTCTCCGTCCTGGCCAATGCCAAAAAGTTACCCCAGGGTAGAATCCTGGATTTCTAATGGGATCTAATGGATCTTTTATGAGATATGGTAATCTTAAATTCACCAAACCACCGTTAATTCTTATTTTTTAAAACTTGAAAAAAAACGCGAAAAATGCAAAAAAATGGAAAAAACAAAAAGCAAATCAGCAAAATCCAAAAAACACAAAAGCAAAATAAAAGGGAAAAAAAAACGAAAAAAATGGAAAGACAAAAAGGGGAAAAAATGGGGAAAAAATGGACTTGTCCATTTGCATTTTTTTTGCTGTGTTTTTGCTTTTTCGATTTGCTTTTTTTGCTTTTTTGTTGCTTTTATTTTGCTTTTTTCCAGGCAAAAAGCAAAAAAAACAAAATAAAAGCAAAAAAAAAAAATCGAAAAAACAAAAAAAAAGCAACAAAAATGCAAATGGACAAGTCCATTTTTCCCCATTTTTTCACCCTTTTTGACGTTCCTTTGTTTTCCCATTTATTTTGCTTCCTGTTTTTTTCGGTTTTGAAGTTTTGCTTTTTGATTTTCCATGTGTTTTCCTTTTTTTTTGCATTTTTTTCAAGTTTAAAAAAACATTAGAACTAAGGGGAGAGGTGAACATAATGGTAATCTATGATAATCTATGGGATATACATGATATCAACTACTCTATGATGGAATATATATATATATTATGATAATCTATGGGATATAAGTTGATATAAACATATATAAACTACGTACTGATGGGAGACCCTCCGATGTCATCATCTTTTCGTGGCGAACGAACATCCTCCTGGACTTTTAGTCCGATGATTCTCCCAGCGAACGATTCACCTTCGTCTTTATGTGTTTTCTTTGGGTGTTTCATTTTCAATGGGATTTTATGTGGTTTAATGGGATTTTAATGGAATGTGATGGGACTATATTCCACTTAATGGGATGATATACCTCACGTTGCATTACCACAATCAATGACTATAGTACCTAATAACAATGATGATTGTTGATAATGATTATATAATGATTATGATTACCCTCTGGTAAACGTTAACAAAAAAACTATATGGAAAGATCCACCATGTTTGATGGTTAAATAAACTATTTCTATGGCCATTTTCAATAGCTATGTTAGTTTACCAGAGGGTACAGTAGTATGTCAACGAACAAAATGGAGGTCTAAGCACCAAAGACTTTTTTTCATGCCGATATCGATATCATGGGGATTCTCGGGATAAATTACAGGCTGTGGCCCCCAAGTTCAGTAGCTCAGTTGGTTTAGTTCGCATATTTCACTAGGGCTTATGGGAATGAAATGACGATAGTAACATATAGTCATATAGTAACTATAAGTTACTGGGGACTACAAACCAAGAAACATATTTGATCATAATTGCGGGGGCACCCTGAGTTCGGGCTTTCCCAGAATGGACCCCAAAATCATCCAAGTTCTTGGTCGTTTCTGTAAAAACAACTGCATTTTAAGGCATGTTCGGGTACCTAAAAGAAATTGATGTCGGCACCCAAGTTCTAAGCTGTCGTAGTCCCCAAATGTCCCCAATCTTTTGGGCTAATCCCCAAAGGAATATCTGGTCCACTGGTACTTTGCTGCAATTCTTCACGCGTTTGCTTCAACAAGGCCGATTGGATGGTGCGAAAAGGGCCTGTGATGTATTGACCCCAAATCCCAAAGCGGGATGATTCTCAACTCAACGATGAAAAAATGAAAAGATCGAAAGGAACATCTGGCAGTGTGTCAAAACCTTGTACCCCTGGTGAACATCAAAATAGCTGGTAAATGGATGTTCATTCCCCTAAAAATGGTATTAATAGGTATTGATCCATATCCATCTAAGGTCATCTAAGATCTAAAGTAAGGTAAACTCAACTCAACTAAGATCATCCAAGATCATCTAAGATCTAAAGGATTAAGTCAGGATGTTCCCAACCAAAGGTTTTTTCGAAGAT